GCAAAGCCCACATACTAGGAAAAGTAAAATCAATAAATCTCACTCTGTCTTTCTGAGGGACATGATCTTTAAAGAGAAATTTTAAATGCCAGAACCAAATATTGGAAGTGAGATATTTTCCCCTTTTATAAATACCTACAGATTAAAGGAATAGCTTTTGCTTAGAGGATATATATTCACTTGCAGTTTAGGCTGATGTTTACCAAAATATCATAAATACTTAATAGCAACTGTTCCCAGTGCTTCTAGCAAAAGGCAATAAAATGACACATAAACCTCAGTGGTGAAAGCCAGGAACTCAACTCCACATTTCATTCCTCACTTTCCCCGCCAGACCCTGCTCAGGAGAGCCCAGAGTCTAATGATCACCAGGGAAGACTCACTGAATCCCAAACAGAAATATTATGTGCTCCAGGGAAGCTATTAATCATTCAGATGGCAAGAACAACTGCAGTCAAATCCTCAGCCACTGGATCAAGTTGCCTGACTAATCTGTAAGAGACAGCAGAGTTGGGGGAGGGCGTCATCACACATTCCAACCAATTTTTTAGTTTACAGTTCTCCTATAAAGCCAGAGAAATTCTCAAGGTATGAAGATGGTCCACACTGAAAAGAGTGGAGATGTCAGACATAGCTTACGAAAAACCTTTAACTAGAAATCCCGAGCTCGGGATCACAAAGCACACGTGAAAGTCAGTGTCAACCTCATTGACAAACAAAACCAAGGTCTTTAACAGTACATTATGTTGACCGCAGAGCACAGAGCTCATTCTCCTTTTGCTAAACAGTGTCCGCCTGCTGCAGGTATTGAGAGTCTTCCTTACAGCTAGACATGTTCACGAAATTATCAGCTTGCCCTGTCTTCTGAGACATACTCACAGAATTGATGATTCCTTTAAGAGCTTGAAATCCACCTTTAACGGGGAAAACTTGTTCCTTGGAATCAGCGATTCTTTCAAGCTTTAGAGAAAAGATGAACACTTAAGGGATAGTTGGGTCATAGAACCTTTTATAAACTCATATTTAAACTTATATATAAAACGAAGCTTTTGTTATGTTCATCCGAAAAATGACTGCCTAGGATTCATTCACTCTGTGACAGATATATTTGTTTTAAAGATATTTTTTATTGATTATTTTATGTGTATGAGTGTATTGCCTGCATGCGTGTAAATGCATCCGTGTCATGCAATGCCCACAGAGTCAGAAGAGGGTGTTGAATTCCCCTGAAACTGATGTTATGGACAGATGTTAGCTTCAATGTGGGTGCTGGGAATGGAAACCAGGTCCTTTACAAGAACAGCAGGTGCTCTTAAATCGCTGAACCATCTCTCTAGCCCAAAGATCATATTTTTAAAAATAAGAGAGAACTATGTAACTATAAAATGCAATTCACATTCAAGGCCAAAAATTGAGGGTGAGGAGACTAATTTCACTCCAAAGCTGTCACCAGGACAAGACTAAAGTCAGGCATAATCCCTGTGGCACTGGCCTCGGGCTACAGTGTCAAAGCAGAAGTCTAATTGCTGACAGTGGCTGAGATTCTGAAATCTGAGCCATTACTCAAGCAAAAATTTAAATGTAAAATGATTTGGTGAGAAAACTTTGTAAAAAAATTAGTTTTTCCATGAAAAATTCTTAAAGATTTGGAAAAGGACTCTTCAAATTCCCACACACTCATCAAATTTTAAATCAAAATAAGAACTCTAAATAACACTACCATCATAATCTTATCAGTGGAATTAGCGGAACAGTCATGATTTAATCCAAGTGTTTGTCTGATTTGAACGCCCCACACCAAATAAATATTGAAGAAATCTAAGCTTCATTTTCTGTAACAAGACCTGTGAAAATTCCATTTGTAAAATAACTTGTTTATCCTTATGGCAATCAAGTGATTTAAAGTTTGCAAATCTGTTGTAACTCACCTGAGCTTGTTCAAAATCAAGGACCCCAACACAATAAACATTAGCACCAAGTGACCTGGCCTTTTTAGCCTATGGAGAAAGAAATAGGAGGAGGGGACGGGGTGGGGTGGAATAAAACAAGGGGAGGGAGGGAAGAAGGAAAGGAGGGGAGGAGGGGAGGGGGAAGGAAGAGAGGGATTGAGATTCAATATGGAGCTATACGTGCACACACACAGCAAGATACAACAGTGGGTGTACAGGCCAGTTTCAGTTCAACACTCACCTCGTTCTCTGCATATGATGGCACAAGACCGTCCAACTTACCATCTGTCAAAGCAATTATGATACTGGAGGTTTTTAAGCCTCCTGCTTTCTGAATTTGTTCATTTGCCTGAAAAATGAATAATTATCCAACTCACAATTTAATTTTAACTTTTAACCAGCATGGTCTATCAACTGAATTTTTAGGTCCAACAAAACAAAAATATCAATGACTAAAAATAATGCATATATGTATATATGCTCTAGTTTATAAAACAGGGCATTTGTATTAACATTTATACTTGAAATATGTAAGTATATTACAGAGTAGCTATTGGGGTACTATGATACAGGTTAATTAATCTGAATATAACCATAGAGGAAAATAGAAGAATTATTGAAAGACAAAATACAAGCTTTTCATATTAACATTCACTGTAAATGATATTTTCTACCAGTCTCATGTCTAAAATAACTAGAAGTACTAGAAAAATTAAAGATAAGCATAAAGCAATTTTTAATCTTTGCTAGAAAATTATGCTTCATTAGAGAAAAAGGTGCCATTGTCCCCCATACTCAGCAAGGTAAAAATAACTTACTAGCCTCAATCCTTCATGAATATATGTCTCTCCTACTGGCTGAACATCTTTTAAATTCTCCAATCCTTTATTGATTTTGTACCTGAAAGCAATGTATAATCGTGTTAAATAAAAGTGAGCAAAGGCCATAATACACACTTTTAAGTACTGCAGTGAAGTTTCCAGCAGTAAGAAATAAAGGGAAGGATGTGGGCTCTGAGGACAAACAGCTTCTCAGACGTTCTGTCATGTTAACAGGCATGTATTAATTTCTGAATTTGAACCATAGAAAATTAAATGCACTAAAAATGTCATAAAATCAAAGTATATTGTATGAATTTTTAGCCAAGAACAGATACCTCCAATTATATTTGTTTTATCAACTGCTAAGTAGTAAACTATACTTTCTCTCACACAAACAAATGCAAAGATTGAGTAGCTTAACTTCAGTGTAAAAGGATTTCTGAAATACTCCTCCCTCCCTAAAGTGGGAAAATTTTATTATCTGTAAACTCTTTTGTTTGTTTGTTTGTTTGGTTGGTTGCTTGCTTGCTTGCTTGCTTGCTTGGTTGCTTGATTGGTTGGTTTGGGGTTTTTGTTTTTGTTTTTTGAAACAGGTTCTCCCCGTAGTTCCAGCTGGCCTGAAATTTGCTATATAAACCAGGCCGGCCTCTGTCTCAGAGCTCTGTCTGTCTCTGTCTCCTGGGTGCTAGAATTAAAGGTGTGAGCCACCATACACGGTATATTATCTGAAAACTCTTATAGTATAATACTTAACCCCTGTGTTCGAAAATTAACGTTTTCTACGTTAGTCTCATAAAATCGTAAATCTCATGGCTTCTTCACTTTTGTGAAACCTTTTCTCACATTCCGATTACAGCATATTCTCTTGAATACAGTAGGCACTTAATACATATGTGATAAATGAATTTGTGGATGGCTAGGTAGAAGGGTAGGTGGTGAATGGATGGATAGATGAACAAAAGGGCAATAAACTCTTATTAGAGGCAATAAGAATGAAAACGATGAAAAAGCAAAAAAGAATCTTTTCATCATAACTGATCTCTTGCATCAGGGAGGTGTATATAAGTGGGGTGTGACTACACCATACTGAGAACCATTTTGTATGGATAAGTAAAGAAAGATATACATTTTAAGTTTCTTAAAGATTTCAAACCTCTTTAAATATAAATATTAAGAATCTTAAAAGATGCTTAAAAACTGTCCGAAATAAATTCAAATGTTTTTTTTGTCGGTGGTGGTGGGTTTTTTTTGTTTTTTTGCTTTATGTACACTGCGCTTATGTGTTTAAACAGGGTCTTACTATGTAGCTCAAGCTGGTCTTGATCTCAAGATCTCTTCTGTCTCAACTTCCCAGATTCTGAAATTATAGGCTTGTGTTATCACACCTAGCTCAAAGTGTCAAATTCAGAAGTTCAGAAAATATCCTCTTAGAATATTGTTTTCAGAATTTAGTTTTCAACAGAAGCAAAAAAATTGTCTTTTTAAATATAAATTCTTGAAATATCAACTGAATTATAGATCTTTAAAGAAAATGTGTATAATGCCCATATCCCTGAGGATGACAAAGAAAGGAGATTATTAGGAAAAGAACATCATCTTGAGATCAAGGAACTCACTGGAGTCCTACAAAGAATTTTACATATACTATGTATGTGTCTCTCTGTACATATATAGGCACATGTGTATCACATGACTATAATAGATCAAAAATAGTAAGAAGTATGTTTTTAATGCTTCCATGTTGTGCATCAAATACTAAAAGTAAATGAGTCATATGCCAGTTTCACATGCTTTAAAAGTAACTAACTGACTATAATTTAATAGCATAATGAAATTTCTATTCAGAACATACAATCTCCATCTTGTGAAGCTTCTAGAAAATATGACATAAGTTTCAAGGTATTGACCTAACTCTCCTTGTTCTTGAATCTGTAGATTCTTCCAAACCAGACTGACTGTCCTTTAACACTTTGTTCAATAAACTATTTGTTCTGGGGCTGGAGAGATGGCTCAGCAGTTAAGACCACAGGGTGCTCTTGCATAGGATCCAGGTACAGTTCCCAGGACCTACATGACAGGTAACATCCGACTCCAGGTTCAGGAGATCCGATGCCCTCCTCTGGCCTCCCTGGGCATTGCACACATATGGTGCACTTAAATTCAGGCCAAACACTATTACACATAAAATTAAATTAAAATCTACTTATTCTAACCCTTTCTCTAATTTTATTGTACTAAAAGTTTTTTATTCATACCTATGTTTACTTTTACTGTGGCAAAAACAATTTTGATTCTTAACATTTTAAAGAAATTTAATATAATTGAACTTTTTCATGTCTTAGTGAGACTAGAGGTTTACAATGACTGTTGCCATGTCTTTTCTTTATGATGTTCCACCCACTCTGAACTTACTGCTTGTTATAATGCCTCTTGAAAAGTAAATGCTCAATAAATTATTCCATCTACCATCAGGGAAAAAAATCATATTTCCACAGATGATGGAGTAAATAACATAATGTAGAAGTTTGTTTTATGTAAATATTTATGTTTGAGATCTATGGAAATAACTAGAAACTGATTTTGTATGAATCCAGATAAAAATCAAATATTTGGCGCTTCCGTGAGATAGTAGCAATGTGTCCTTGAGCATTAATGTTTGCTGCCGAAAGGTAAAAGAAAACAACAACTGATATGCACGTTTCCACAAACAAAATCTGTATGGCAAAAACTGCCTTCCCATTGGGTTCATGTCATTCAGCACTGCACCACTGCCCGTGAGGGCCAGGCCTTAGGAGCACAAGACTGGGGAAAAGGAACCCCCAGTGTGGGATTCACAGTCTCTTCCAGGCTCTGCTGGGTTTCAAGGGACCAGAAAACATTTGAAGACTTTCTGTTCCCAAGTGTACCACCCCCAGACTCCTGCAGGTTCCAGTGCACCTGTCACTTGTATGGCCATAGCTCCTTGCACAGAGCCAGTGACCTCAGCACACATGGGACAGGTTTAGGACTTCTTCCAGGGTAAGTACCCAGGCTGCCAGCCTCCTCTCAGGCAGTGAGTGTCAGTTTAGGGAAACTGGAACCCAAACAAAACAGCAAATGTCAAGGGGCTCCAAACAATTAAAAGTAAGTTTTAAGTCCCTTGATCAGCAAATGGTTCCAGAAGGAAGAGTAAAATGACGCTGTAGATTAAAAACAGAACAGTCACACATGCTCTGGCATCAGCTAAAGGAGAAAAAGGGGAAGGAAGGGGAAAAACAGTGGGTCTGCTAAGAAAGCTCAAAGTCACTGTCATCTCAGAAGCCCAGTTTCACAGGGTTTGGCTTTAATGCTTTGTCTTTAATGCTTTGACTACAAGAAAGGGTAATACTGAAACTACTTCAGTTATTTGTTTGAAGCTGTTGCCAAGGATGCTGCTATCATGAAAACCCCCACGAGGCCTCATAGCAGAAGGGTTTACCACCTTTCAGAAGTTACTATGCACTTCCTCCTTTCTGTTATTTACAGCTCTGCACACTTTTTTTCTTGCCCTAACTATCAGGGAGCCCCTTAATCAGTCACAAAATTTTGTTGCGTTCCTAAAGCTTTCCACTTGTTTTATCTTCTTTTCCAAGATCTTAACTTCTTTTTCATATTTTATTAATTTTATTATGTTCTAAGCAGCCTCAAATATGCTTTGGAAAGAGGCAGGATTGAAACAAATAAGATGGTTTATTAAACATCTGGTTTTTACACTGGGAACCAGGGTGCCAAATTTTATACTCAACTGGAAAAAGTAGGGCAAGAACAAAGAGGGAGGAAGAGGGTGAAACAGAGGCAGAAACTAGACATTGACTCATTTCTTATGTGAAACTTTCAAGTCTATTAGTGGCACTCAAATGTCTCTGTTGAGAAGAAAGGGGAAGGGGTCGGGGGAGAAGGGACTCCCTCAAGTAAGTATTCTAATGTGCAGTCTGGATTAAAAACTTTTTAACCTAATTCAATACTGTTCATGTTGTTGGGATATTCTTTCCCTTACCAATTTTACCAGTCAGTCCTATTTAAGGGGTTTGGACTAAGCAGGATAATTTCTTAAACCATAAACAGAGTTTCTGGAATGAAATGGGTCAGGATGAGCATAGGCTGGTAGAGCATAAACTAGTTTCAAGACAAACTTTGCTTCCTTGTCTATAAAACAGGGACTGAAATGTTTTGTCCTCAGATCCATTATGAAAAGCAACTGTGCATAATGGTTCTAAGCCATAGGCAATAGTGTTGGTACTGTGGATGGCAGTCATTTGTCTGTTAGTATGATTTTATTCCTCCAGTTTACTTTAGTTTCTTCCTGACTCCAATCAGAGCTCACACAAAAACCTAAGGATCAAAAGAGTAAGTACACATCAAAAGAGGAAGAAGAACTCAAATGAGGAAGCAGAGACCAAAAGAGGAACTAAGAGAAAAAAGACAAGAAGAAACATTCTATCCATTATATCAATGTTTGGTGAGGGGAAGAGATTGTATAAGAACTGTAGCTGGCCCTCCAGATCCACAGGTCCCACAGCAGTAAACTGAACCTCATAAAGAATCAAGTATTTCTTTAAAAATGCATTTTTAAGACAGTGTCTAGCCTCAAACTCACTATATAGTTAAACATTACCACAAACTCAAAATTCTCCAGTCTTAGCCTCCAGATATTAGATTAGAGGGGTGCACCGCCATGCTCAGCTCAAAAATACATCTTTACTGAACAGGTACAAAATTTTTGTCCTTGACATTATTCCATAAACAACTGTAGGAGCATGACAATTATCTGCATATAACATGTTATGTATTAGATATTATACATAATCTACAGTGTATAAGAGAGTGGAGGTGGTTCTTTTATAGAAAGTATTTGAGCATGTGAGTTTTTGTTTGTGAGAGAGCTCCTGGAAGAAAAATTCCTCCACAGATACTGAGGGCAATTATTTATGGGAAGCTATGTAATGAGGTAAGAGGACTTAGGGGGTGAAGTAAACCAGATTAATTAAAGTCCCGATTTCACAAGTAATACATATATCCATAGCAGTTATTTAATTTTTCTGAGCTTAGTTTCTGTACCAA